TGCATATTTCCCAGTGCTTTAATATCCCTGATCTCCTCTATAAACACCCGCTTAACTACTCTTCCTGGTCCATCTGTAAAACCAGTATCACAATAGCTCAAATTAGAAGAGTAGACCTTGCAAGAGGACAGTGGCTCATTTTAAATTTCTTTGTGTTATCCTGACTTATAGGGCTGATTCATTCAGTCCACTATTCCTGTTTTAGCAGCTACAAAATGGACTCACAGCTGTTCCTAAGTGTCTAGAGAGACAACAGCTGTAGCACAGAGCTTCTTTTCCAGCTACTCTCCCCTGTGTACTAGTAAACCTGCTATAAGGGTTTATGGATGGCTGCAATTTTGTCATCATCATCATAATTTATTACGGTCAAAGACCAGCTCGAAAAGCACAACTGAGACAGCTTTCACAAGGGCTAAAAAGGGCTGCAAGTTCTCTTCCCCCACCTTACCCCCCCACCCAAAGCAAAGCCCCCTTGTGACCAAAGTAAAGGGGGGTCTCATGTCTTAAGATTGAGATAGCAGTGGAAGGTTTTGTAGTGTTACGATCGCAACCGTCCAATGGATTGATCATTTTAGAACCTGATATCAGGCACTAACATGGGTATCATAACTCTTTTCAGGCAGTAGGTGAGACCTTGAAGAAAAAGTGGCTCTGGCTTCAGAAATGTGAGCTGACCTTTGCCTTGGTGGGTTTTTTCCTCCCGTGCAAGAAGTAAAAGGCACTGCATGTTTTGTTTTGTTTTTACTTTCTTTCTCCAATGCATCCCTAGCTGACAGAACTTGCTTCATCCCAACATTCAGCACGAAAGGACTAACTTTGCCAAAGTCGCATGATATTTACCGCTAGCCCCACATATCATGTAAGAGGATGCTGTCACAGGTTGATTGACTGAATCACAAATGGAATCGTGCATACTTGGCCAGAGACCTTTTGTTATGCTTAGCAACTAGAATGTGCTTCTCATCAGATTAAAAACACCATTATAAGGCATTTTCTTTCCGGTTCTTCGGATATCAGTGGAGTGTAAAGGAACCAGCATGCTTATTAAATTGCCCGATATTTGGTATGAGCATGTCCTGTAGGGTAACCACACAAGCACTGAATGAATATGCTGAAATTTTTGCTTTGGTTGTAGATGTTTCCAGAAATCACATCTCTATGGGTGCATTTTACAGATATGAGAAATAACATGTCTTATTTTGCTCTCCGTGGATTGAAAGAGTTCTGCATCGTAACCTGATAGGTAGATGCCAACAATGACGTTTTAGATACAACAGGCCCCAATGTCATTTTTTTTAAGCCCTCAATTAAGTTTGGTACCCCTTCCCCAGTAATAAATAACTGTTTCCCTTGGAGAGAAAAAAGCCAATTGAAAAGATGAAATACTGGAAAATAAAAGTCTAAACTCTGCTCATCTGAAATCTGGTTATGCAGGTTTTATGTATAAAAAACTACAGTCAGTTATTATAGCACAGTACAAATACAGTACAGTGGTACCTCGGGTTACATACGCTTCAGGTTACATACGCTTCAGCTTACAGACTCCGCTAACCCAGAAATAGTACCTCGGGTTAAGAACTTTGCTTCAGGATGAGAACAGAAATTGTGCTCCAGCGGTGTGGCGGCAGCAGGAGGCCCCATTAGCTAAAGTGGTGCTTCAGGTTAAGAACAGTTTCAGGTTAAGAACGGACCTCCGGAACAAATTAAGTACTTAACCCGAGGTACCACTGTACAAATACAGTATATGAATCCACATATTACCCTCTCCACCACAAAGGAGAGTTGTTTTTCCACCATGCTTTCCCAATACAGTGGTACCTCTGTTTATGAACTTAATTCATTCCAGAAGTCCGTTCTTACACCAAAAGCATTCTTAAACCAAGGCACGCTTTCCCTAATGAGGCCTCCCGCCGCCAGTGCCCTTCCACCATTCAGCTTCCGTTCATCTTCCGGGCCAAAGTTCGCTAGCCAGAACACCTACTTCCAGTTTTGCCGAGTTTGTTTCCTGAATCGTTCGTTAACAGGACTGTTCTTAGACCGAGGTACCACTGTACGTTGTCCAATCCAGGTGTCGAGCCTTTGATTATGAACATCACTACCGGCTTCCATCTGCATTCTTCCCCCCAGTTTCCTTGCATGGGGGGGGGGCCAAGGCAGCTGTAATATCCCCACATATTTAACCCCATGAGGCCCTTCCCACCCATTCTATCCTTTCACCAGCTGAGCCACAAAGAGACACAAAGCTGTGCAGTCATCTTGATGTCCAGTTCTGATGTATCATTATCTTTTCCACGCCTCTAGAATGAGCAGTGTGTGTGGTGTTCTGCCTTTCCACATCTACACGGTTTAGGGCTGTTTTGACATGTTCCGTTACCGCACCAATCTCAACCCTGAAGCCATTTAAAAACAACTGTGTATAAAATGCAGTGGTACCTCTAGTTACAAACTTAATTCGTTCCGGAGGTCCGTTCTTAACCTGAAACTGTTCTTAAGTAGAGGTGTGCTTTCGCTAATGGGGCCTCTTGCTGCCGTTGCGCCGCCGGCACACGATTTCCGTTCTCATCCTGGGGCAAAGTTCTCAACTCACGGTAACTCTTCCAGGTTCCTGGAGTTTGTAACCTGAAGTGTTTGTAAGCTGAGGTATTTGTAACTCGAGGTACCACTGTGTTCTCTTTTTTCCCTGGTAATGTGAAAGGCAAACATAGAAGGTGCTTTAACAGGTGGTGCAGGCAGCCCATTTGAGCAGAAGAGGGGAGAGGTCAAAGTGCAAGTCAATCCAAAATTTGACTGCATGCATCAGCCAAGCTGCAAAACAAGAGTTCACACCAAGGAACCCATTTTTATTCAATCCGTTTAATTTGCCGTCACCTAAGATCACACTGGCAAAATCCAATGCAACTTTGAAACCTTGGATGATAGCCCAGAATGCCTTGAGCTGGAAGAGATATACCTTAATGCAGAGGATGACTCAGCCATGGTAGGAGGTGCTTGAAGAAGCCATTTTGTCCATCACACAGTTTCCTCAGAGGACCAGGCTGATGTGGAGCTAGTCTTGGCACTGATGTGCCTCTATGAAAAGTGTATTTTTTTCAGGAGAATACCAAATAATATCACCAAAGTATTTGGGGATGGGGGGTTGGTTAATATATGCTAAACTGGCAGGTTCTCGGTGCCATAGATACACATTTTAAGGTACACAAAAAAAGGTTGGGTTTTTCCCCCCAGAATGCTATATCAGAACTGACTCAAAACTGACAATACTGCTTTTTAAAGAGATTCTTCATTGCTCAGATGCTTCTCTGTGAATGTGTATGAATGGCATTATGTCAACTCTGCCATGTTTATGTCACTGAGTTTACCATATTCTTCTTGAGCTTTTAACGAGAAATTATACATCCTTTGAAAGAAGTGCTTTGTTTGATTTTCAATTGACATTCATGGTGTGAATGGATTCAGTCTCCACTTGCATTGGGGTGTTAAAACCAATGGGAGTTACACAAGCTTTTTTTTACTTCTGAGAATTTAGGATCTCCTCTTGACCAATGCACTCTTCTGCATCTGACAGTAATTTTAAAATTCTATTTATTTTATAATAACTTTTTTCTTCTAAGGCGGCTTGTGTTGCTACTGTGACTTGCTCTTGTACTGAAAGGAGAACTCGTTCAATTTTCTAGGGAGAAGATTTTCCTCAAAGAAATAGGATTCTATTTCAAAGAGGTTTCTTGAAATTCTCTTTGGATACCACTAGTTTTTGCATCAACTGTTAACTACAACTTAACGCTTCTTTTTAAGAATTCAAAGTTCGGAAGCAACAGGCAGCTTCTGCCTCAGTGTGAATGTTCAACTCCCTGTGCCATTCACTTGATAATTACAGTAATTGCATGATAGCCTGGCTTTTTGAAGCTTTTGTCACGTGGTGACTTCCCGTGAGATTAATGTTTTGTCTTTTAAGAACAGCAGCTATCAGTGGGGTAAAGTAGATACCTGATGAGATTTTATGAGCATGTAACTGCATTGTTACAGACTGTTTGCATTCACCCCAAAACGACCAACAATGAATGAGGTCGGCTTGATGTCGTTTGCAAATGAAAGCTAGAAAAACTGTTTATGCCACTTGCTTTAACATCTCTTATAATTAATACCACACATGATGCTCAATTCTATGGCTTTAACTTCAATAATGCAAGGCCCAGTCATTCAGTTGGTAATAATACAGTTTTTTAGACTGTTCAAAGAGCTTAATGTGAACTTTACAAGAACCTGTAAGGTTGAATAATGCAATAAGTTGCTTCAAATTGTTTCTAATGTGGTAACTGGCCCTGGGACCTTAGGGTGAAGGGCAGATAATAAATAAATTAATGATCAATTAATAATAATGTTATTTCCATATTACGGTTATCGAGTAAGTTCATGGCCGAAGCAAGATTCGAACCGGAGTCTTGCTGATTTGTAGCCTAGTCTGATACTTGTCCTGCACTAGGCAGGCCAGCAATTAATTCTGGGAAACAAAACACTGTACAATTGGCATTCCAAGAGTGGCTGGAGAAACCCAGCCAGATGGGCGGGGTATAAATAATAAATTATTGTTATTATAAATTATTATATCCCAAAGCTGAATGTCACTATCTGGCTATGTATCAGTATACCCGACATAATACACTGGATTTCTGTGGGGACCTGAGGAAAAACCACAGATCCCATGGCTAATGCTGATATGATATTGAATGGCTGTTATGAAGTAAGTGTGTAGCATTGGGCATCATATATCTATTCGTTATCACTATTAAGTACTTTACACTTGTTGTCTTGATTGCAAAATTCACAGTTTTGTTTACAGTGACCGAAAATTGCTTTTTCTCCACTTGATGCCTTAGTTTAATTTTGTGTTGTTTTTAGGGGCTCAGTACTAATGATAACCATAATAATAAGCTATTTCTGTATCTGTAACAGGTTGCTAAGTTTCCTCCTGACACGAGTCATTGTTGATTTCACTGTTATAGGGGAAAGGCTCTAGGGCGGCAGATAAGGCTGTTGCCATGGTGATGAAGGAGATACCGAGGGAGGAGCCTGCCGAGGAAAAGCCCCTCCTTACTATGAAATCACAGGTGGGCAGAATGGTAGGATTCCGAGGAGGAAGCTGACATATGTTGATTTTCATGGAGACCAACAATGAGCCGAGAATGATTTCTGTTCTTGGAGTCAAATGTTTCATAAGATTGAAAAACAGGGGTTGGGAGAGATATTTATGTAAGGCCACTTTCCACCCCAAATTACATTGGGGGCGTATGGGGGGGGAGCCATTGTTTTTCAATAGTTAGTACTTCGGCTGATGCATTTTATCTTTAGCTAATCGACTTGGTCTTTTAGAAAACCCAAAATGCATAATACGTAAAATACAGAAAGAGAGAGTGAAAGAAATCACTTTGTGTTTCCTGATCTTGTGTATTAGGGCTTGGGGCTTAAAAACCAAAAATGACAGAGGAGTTGAGGAAAATGATTTACAGAACCACAGTGTACATATGTCAGTTACCAGTAGAGTGTCTAAAACCAATTGAAACTGTCAACTGTGATTCATGCTGTCCATACTTGCATAACAGAGTATATATAAATGCACATTCACAGCAAAAGGTATGTTGATAAAACTTTATGTAACATCTTCCCCATAGAGGTGTGTGTCATTTTGCAAAATATGTTTTAGTGCCTGTAAAACACTGGACCTCCCTCATTTCAGTTTGAATCCCTTCTCACGTAACGAGTAAAAGTCAATACGTAGACCCATAGTTTGAAACGATTGCTGTGAAAGCGTAGAGAAATTTTAATAGGTTCTTCTGTAAACAACAACACACCCAATCAAATGAAAACCTGTTTTGTTGAAACTGTGTGCCTTTGGTCTAGCTGTTGCCAACATATGAGATTCTGGCTTCATTCAGATGCAGTATAACGAATGAGCTTTGGGCTTGTCAGCTCTGCTGTCTCCTCCTTTGGCACAACTGCGAGCAAGGGACTGAAACTTTCTCTTCTCTTTTTATCTAATCGCAGTTTAGTGTTACATCTGAACCCAGACAGTGTTTAATCTTAAGTACTGATTGCTGATGCAAGCCACCTTCAAACAACCATGGTTGTTTTAATAAACCGAAATTAAGATGAACTGCAATTTAAAGTTTGGGCATAAGCTCATATACATAACATTCAACCATAGTTTAGCATTACATCCGAACCAGGAATAGTGTAAATTACACTATTAAACATGAATTGGATGAAATGGCAATAACCATCCGTTTTGATCTAAGCTGTGATGCTTGTCACGTGGAGGCACTCTGTACTCTGTCACTCAATTTAGTTGGTAACTAAATTTAGAATATGCATGCCTGCTTGGTGATAGTTATCTTCCAGTGATATTTATCTTACTATATGTTACACAGGAGCATAAATTAAATACATTCTGAGTTGAATGCCAGATCAGAGCATATGTGTAAAATAAAAGTAATGATTTTAAGCATACTAGCCACAAGTGAGCAGGATGGTCGATAGCCCCTGATAATCAATAGTTTAAAATTTTATTTGGATTAAAATTCCAAAATCATTTCCACAGACCCACTATTCTCTAAATGCTGGATGGTTTATTTGACAAATCTAGGATAATTACAAAAGGTCAGCTCAAAATTTCCCCCTGGGTTGTCCAGATTGTATGTTCATGATCCATAACAACTGCCAACGTTATCCTATACCTAAAAATCACTTTCTCTCGATTGCTCTTACAGATTTGCAATGCTGCATTATATATACAGAAACTCAAAATGTCCCGTGTTTAGATTGCATTACACAGGGCAGTTTTCCTACATGGATTACGCTGAATGATGTGAAGATTGTGGCAGTCTGGGCTTCTTATGTGCACATGCCTTGGGAATCCATTGCCCACTGAGATTCCCCAACATATGAGACACATGAACAGTCTTCTTACATGGATGTACCCATGTAGAAAAAACATCCTGTGAAACATCTCTACACTGGGACATGACTGGGTGATGGAATAGGATGCTCTCCTTTCTTACATCCTATTTGGATTTTACATAAATCAGCTTATGAATCGTACCTGTCGAGACACCTGATTCATAATGTGTTTTGTGCCCCATTTGTATTGGTTGTATGTAACAGTTTACCATAAATCATTTGTGATACACTCCTTCAAAGTAAAATGTTGTATCTGTTAGTCTGTGTACACTTTTTTCTCACTGTGTACCAGTTGACTTCATCCTTGTTACGCACCAGTTGGCTACACAAAGCCAAGAGAAGGCAAAACCAAGTGGATGAGTGAGTATTTTCAATAATTGTCTCCACATTGCGTGTGCCCACGTTTGCAGTAGGGTCATGTTGCCTTTCTCCCTTGCATACCTGTTATATAAATGTCTTGCTGTTTTATGATGCCTTTGTCCTTTGCCTTCCCATGTGCACCTTTTGTTCAGAACATTTGTCTGGTATAATGTAATACCGCAGGGGAAACTGCAAGACCTGGACCCAATTTATGCATTCCTTTTGCAGCAAGGAACCCACACAAATAATGCTTTCCTGTAGCAGGACTCCCGTTTTGCATTAGTGATGTGTATAAGCATTGAACCAATGGGTTGTTTTGGTAATGTGACTATTTCCTGTGCCAGCTTGCCTCCTTTGGAGTTGTTATTGTTGACTTGGGAAGTAACCAAACAATCCAAATGACTAAAACGATTCACAGGAAAGCTGTTTTTCAATAGTTCCCATGCCACAGTGGTATTATCAGGAATGAACCTGTGGCCCTCTAGATGTTGTTAGACTCCAGCATACCTCTCTCTCAGCTATGGAATGATGCGGGTTTTCTTTCAACCAAATCTGGAGGGCCACAGATTACCCAACCCTGGTGTAAATTGAGCCTTGGAATTATAGAACTGTAAGAATGACTAGTAAGTCCCAACTGTCTGCCCAAGGCAGGATTATCTGCCAAGTACTTTAGTGTGTTTATTTTGATTTCTGCATAAAATGAGGCCAACAAAGGTTTGCCTGCCTAGATGGCAGAATCTTAACACTGAGAACATAGTACGCAACAGGATTTCAAATATATATTTCCACCCATTGCAGAATGGATGCCGGCATATTTTCTAAGTAAGATCAGCTCATAAATATCAGGTATTTTGTAGTAGGGTATGCCCATTTGGTTGAGGGAGTGAAATAGTAAAGGTAAAGGTACCCCTGCCCGTACGGGCCAGTCTTGCCAGACTCTAGGGTTGTGCGCTCATCTCACTCTATAGGCCGGGAGCCAGCACTGTCCGCAGACACTTCCGGGTCACGTGGCCAGTGTGACAAGCTGCATCTGGCGAGCCAGCGCAGCACACGGAACGCCGTTTACCTTCCCGCTGGTAAGCGGTCCCTATTTATCTACTTGCACCCGAAGGTGCTTTCGAACTGCTAGGTTGGCAGGCGCTGGGACCGAACAACGGGAGCGCACCCCGCCGCGGGGATTCGAACTGCTGACCTTTCAATCGGCAAGTCCTAGGTGCTGAGGCTTTAACCCACAGCGCCACCCACGTCCCGAGGGAGTGAAATACCATCTGTCAATTTATCAAGAACGTCCTTGTTTTGGAAACTGTGTAATACTTAAAAGTGTCACTTGTACTATATGATACAGCAGCTACATAATGGACAAAAATAAACAATAGTTTGTACAGGGAATAGTTGTAAGGGAAACTACTGCAACCCTGGCTGAATATACACTCCCATTAACACTGTATGCAGTAAGCTATCACCACTGGCTTAAAAAGTGGTGTACAAACAAATCTATTTCTAGCCTGTAGCTGCCATGTTGTTTCTTGTGGAATACTGTGTTTTGATACATTTTCCTCCAAACCAGTTTTGATCCAAATTGAGGAAAAGGATGGCGTATTTGTGTTTTAAGCCGGGAATGTGTATTGCAGCCCTCCGTGGATCTGCTTAAACTGCCAGATGTTATGTTGGTTATTTCATTTATTTATTTAAGGAAGGTCTTTCCCACTCTTCAGGTAAAACCTCTCTGAGTAGCTAAAATAAGGAAGGACTAAAACCATGGTAAAATGTGTTTTGGAAGACCCAACAGGAACGACAGAAAGCCAGGCGATTATGTTATATAAGAACTCGACGTCTGAGTCAGTAAATAGGCCTGCGCATCAGAGACAGCATCAGGCAAGACTCCTAAAGGGGAGCATTCCAGAGTCCATATTCCAGAGGAATGTGGGGCAACCGTCCAATGGGCTGCAGGCATCAGCACTGGCCAAAGACATTTTGCTGCCTGAGATGGAATAGCAAATGCACACACACACACACACACACACCTCAAGGTGAGTAGTACTCGAGCCTGGCCAAGCTATCTTGTACCCTGAGACAGGAAGTCTCACAAGCCCTTCTATAATACTATAATTATATTACATAAAAAATTACGGTAACCATTTGCCCTTTCATGACACCTAAAAGTAGCTGCTCGAAGCAGTTGCTTCCTTCTGCCTAATCGTAGAGATGACCTTCCTTGCTCTGAGTTTTGATCCTTGTTCCTCGTACGCCTAAGCAAACCAGATATGTAACATAGCTTGAAAAATCATCTCTGGGCAACTGCCAGTAGGCTTTATTTGTCTCTAAGAACTCTTAAGCCATAACAATTAACAGATAACCAGACAGTTTGTAAGTTAATGTTTTATTGCCTCTTTTACTTATTTTTCGCATATAATTTCTGCCATACTATCCCCATGAGAATAATTAAAAAAATAAAATAAAAACCGCCTTGAAGAAACAGATCTCAGAAATTGGCCGGCTGCCTATAAGTTGAGTTGCCTTCCCTTCATATAAATGAAACAGATTTTTCTATTAGCTGGTTTTTATCATAAGTAAGCGTGAAAGGATGAGAGTCAAAGAACTTCAGTTTAACTTTTTATTTTATGTATACACACACACACACACACACACACACAATGACTCTGGTTCAACTGGAAGGAAAACCACTGAGCTGCATTTTAATATGAGGCTGTGTATTATTATTTGTACTTATTAAAAATACCGTATTTTTCACTCTATAGGATGCACCGGACCATAGGACACACCGGACCATAGG